CCTCGCTCTCGTGTCCACACTGTGGCATAGAGTTGAGCCAAAACGTACATCACACGATGTATTAATGCCCACGAGAGTTAAAAAGAAATAGCTGGTACCGAATGTTTCACAAACAAAATCATCTCAACGACAATTGGTCTAAGAGAGATGTTTCAATGCCACCACAAATAACGAATACAATCACTCACCGGAATTTTGCTGCTCTTCAGGAAGTCGAGAAGTGCCTCGAGAGCGCCGAGAGTTGATGCTTGAACGAACACCCCGCGTTCTGCCAATTTTATATTTCCAAGTGCCTTTGACAGCTCCTTAGCTATTTCTTCACGGAGAATCTCTACCTCGTCGGGTTTTTGAGCCACTGCTAGATTCAATCCTGATCAACAATCCAATTAAAATTTTTAATTAGTCATTGTTCAATTAGTTTAATCACTCTCGATAATTATCATCATAAAAAATCAGAGGACTCACCTGCTATGGCCTTTTCTAAATCTTTAGCAGCTATTTTAACCCCCTGGGCTGCCTTTATCTCTCTGTACTCTTGATACGCATTCTGTTTGAAGAAAAATTAAATTAATTACGTGATGAAGATAAAATAGAATCATGAGATGTGAAAATTATTTTACCTTGACCCTCAATTCTTTGAGTGGCTGGGGCATGAGTAACGACCGAATTTGCGTAACAATTGGCCCATCAGTACCAGCTACAATCATAGTGTCACCTTCCCTCAGTGTACCATTGACTAGAATGCAATCTATCGTTGTACCAAGACCAGGAAGTGCTTTAACTTCGAGTACAGTAGCTTGGAGCTCCTCACTGTACATGAGACGTTTAGCAAGGGGTCCTTGGCAGGCATCAACGAGAAGTGCCAGTAAATTTCCCATTCCCTCACCTGTAAAAATCAAATTATTCCATAAAAAAATGTAAAAATCCAAAATAAAAAATGTTTAACAAATCCAAAATATTAACCAGTGATAGCACTCGTCGGTACCAAAGACACATAACTCCTGGGATCAGGATTTTCATAAAAAAGTGCAGCATTGAGTCCCTGCTCTGCAAACTGAACGATTACATCCTGGGAGCGTTTTTCAAATTCCCTCTGAGTGTTTGGTCCCTGATTTTTTACAATATCCTGTACATCTTTACGATTCATTGTCTGCCAATCATACAGCCTAGAATAAATCAATGAATAATTAATAATGAATAATAAAAATATATTGAGTCAGATATTAAATGACTGGAGCTCACCTATCAATTTTATTCAAGGCAACGACAAAAGGACACTTTTTAGCCTTTAACAGGCCAATGCTCTCCAGAGTCTGTGGCTCCAGCCCATGCATAATATCGACGACAAGCACAGCAATATCACAAAGCGAAGATCCCCTATTTCTCAGATTACTGAATGACTCGTGCCCAGGTGTATCGATAATTAATAACCCGGGAATTTTAAAAGCCTTGTCAGCATAACCCTTGACATGTTTCGTGGACTCCTGAATGGCCTCAATGGGTACATTGGTGGCACCAATCTGCTGTGTTATTCCTCCCGCCTCGCCATCCTGAACATTCGTCCTCCTCAATTTATCCAAAATCTTGGTTTTCCCAGTATCGACATGACCAAGAACACAAACAACAGCAGCACGCAAATTCTCCAGACATTTATTCTTCTCAGCGTCAACCCTGCGATTCTGTATCCTCATCCTGGCCTTCTCCCTCTTCCTCTCAGCATCAGTCAGCCTGTCATCAACACTGTCCTCCTCACTCTCGTCATCAGACTCTGCATCAGTATCACTGGCGCTCTCGGACTCACTCTCCGATGATTCCTTCTTCTCAGGTGTTTTTTCAGGGATTTTCTCCACCTGGGGTTTGACAGCCTCATCAGATTTGTCCTCGTGCTCGTCCTCACTGCTCACAGCATCCCAACTGTCCTTCACCTCGTCCTCCACCTTATCAACTTTCTGATCAATTATCTCGACCTGCACCTGCTCCGGCTTCCTCTCGTCTTTCTTCTCCTCCTCCTTCTCCTCAGTGCTCGTTTGCTGTTTTAATTTATTCGGTCTTATCCTCGTTCCCAACTTGACTTTGGGCTTCTTCTCACCAGCCTCTGGTATCTCCATTCCCTGGGCCTTGAGTGCCTCAAGCATCGCCTGGGCCCTTGCCCTGTCCTGCTTCTGTTTCGTTGTCAATAATTTTCCCTCGGCCTTGAGCCTCTCTTTTCTCTGCTTCTCCTTTAACTTCTTCTTCTCCTTTCGCTCTTGCTCCAGCTGCAGCTGCTCCAAACGTGCTTTCTCTCTGAGCTCCTCCTGGCGAATTCGCTCCTCCTCCTCCTGCTTGGCCCGCTCCTCCTCCTCTTTAGCTTTCTTCAGGGCTTCCTGCATTGCTGCAATGATCTTTTTACTCGGACCCTTGCCTTTGTCCTTTGGATCCTCCTTCACGCCCTTCTTCTTCTTCTTTTTAATATCATCACCATCTCCATCGACTTCACCAGATTCGTCTGGCTTCTCTGACATCTCCACCTTCTTCTCGGGGAGTTTTTCTGTCGAGGGCTTAGCCGAATTATCCTCTGGCTTATCAACCTCCGGTTTCTTCTGTGCCAATTTCTTCAGCTTCTCCCGCTCCTTCTTCTCTTTTTTCTTTTGAGCGGCTGTTTTCACTGTTCCACCTTCCTCACCCTCGACCCCATCATCCCGGGGTTCGCTGTCACCTTTCTTCTCCGCTTGCTTGCCCTTTTTCCCTTTTTTTCCCTTGTCCTCGTCGAGCTCAGCCTGAACAGGAGCTTCAATCTCCTGTTTATCAGGCTTCTTCCCAGAGTACTCCATCTCCAATTCAGCCAAGGCCTTCTCCAACTCATCATCACTGTTCTGTTTCTTCTTCTTCTTTTTTCCCTTTTTCCCCTGCGGCTCCACCTTCTGAGGTTTAGATTCACTCGTGGACCTCTCGACACTCCGAATTTTATCGGATTCATCATCGCTCTGTGGTGGCTCATCAACGTCATCCTCATCGTCGTCACCCTCCACGTCCAGCAGGGCAAAACCACTTTTGGCTGCTTGTGGTTTAAATTTTGATGATTGAATGGGAACGTCATCGTCATCATCATCAGGAACAGAATTCTTCCTCCCTTTTTTCGTTTTCCCCTTTGTTTTTCCCTTGACATTGGTCTCTAAAATTTTCTCAGGAATGTCCTCATCATCCTCATCCTCATCCACTCGTTTTCCCTTCTTACCCTTGCCCTTACTCTTGACCTTGGCTTTTCTCTCGTGATCAGAGTCAGACTCGTCCCCAGATTCCTCAGCCCCACGTTTCCCCTTCTTGTTTTTCGTTTTCAAGATTACGTCCTCGTCCGAGTCTCCGTCAGCTGCAGCTGAACCTTTCTTTCCCTTCTTATTTTTCCCTTTTGATTTTCTCTCAGCTTCAGAATCAGAATCCCCTTGATTTTTACCCTTCCCCTTGGTGACGGACTCGTCATCAGAATCGTCATCCCCACGTCGCGATTTTTTTCCCTTCTTTCCCTTTGACTTGTCCACTTTCATCTTCTGTAAATCACCAGCTAAATCGTCTACATCGTCTCCCTTTTTCTTCTTATCTTTTTGTTTTGATTTCTCTTGCACTGAATCGGCGTTCGACAGCTCCTCGACATCAACGTCACTGTCACTACAAAATAAACGATTGATGTCTAGGGAATACTCCACTCGAGCTTGACAATTTTCCCGGATTTTTCATTTCGATATGTAATTTTCCAATTATAAAAATTTTCAATTACGAAATAATAATTCAATTTGGATTTGTAAAAATATTTGTCATTGAAGACTGAAATTCTGGAGTGAAAGAAAATAAAAAATGAAACACTGGCATAACCTCCTCTGTCCAGATGGCAACGGCGGAAAGATATGAAATAAAGCCCAAGCCCAAGGAAAATTCCCGCAAATCCCCCAATACTCAGGAAAATGTAATGAAACTAATTGTCTACGTAATAATAAAGGTGACAGAACGAGCCAACATTGCACGTTCTGAAAATAAACTCACAAATCGTCATCTTTTCCTGCTCGCTTTCCCCTCTTCGGTTTACCCATTTTCCACAGCTATTCACTTCTCCTCAATGTAAACACTATTCTTCAATATTTTTTACGTGTGTGATAGTCGATTGTCGCGAGAATTCGCAACATGAGACACGAATTAGTAATGGAATCGTTGGAATTGTGTTATTTGACGTGCCAAGTGTGTCCACACCGGTTTTTCACCTTGTGGAGAACGGATAAGCCTGAAGTTGGCGATTATCGATTCAGTATCGATTCACATATATCGATATTTTCCTTTCGATTCATCGATAAGATTGCGATAATCTCGAATTCGAGCGCGAATTTCAAAAAATATTACCCGTTGAAAATAAAAAAAAAATTTTTTTCTCTGCCAAACATATTTTCTTGTGTTTAGTCAGTATTCTTGGCAAAAAAAAAAATTTTTTACTGAATTTTCTTAGTGAATAGTAATATTTATATGAAATATAATATATATAATAGCGATTGCATTTTCAATGATGGAGAATAATATAAAAGAAATTAATAAGCTGCTTGTATTTTTAAAAACTCAAGTGGAATTATTCCACAAGATCCTGATGTTGACGTCAGACCTGAATAATTTGCAATACTCTCGAGAAAAATACGAATGCGTCGTAATCCTTCTGTCAACACCAACTCGACGTAAATTAACATGTTAATTTATCATGAACACATGCATTCGGTCCCTCATATGCCAAATTGTAAATTTCTCCGTAATTTTTCTTATCCTGATTGAAACCTTGACCTTCAGTTCTTCTTCAGAGTGTTATTTCGTTTTTTAAAGGGATGGCATTTGTCGCTCGCATCTGGAGGACTCTCTCCAGCCAGGCCCATTGATGATTTAGCGTCAGCCTCGTCCCCTCCATCAATATCCATGACTTATCTAATTCCCTATCACAACTTCATAGATGTGTGTGAACTCCCACTTGAAGAACCGCCGATTATCAAAACTCAGTGACTGCTTGTTAAATTTTTCAAACTAGTAGTTTGCTAGCGCAATCGAGCGATCGATCTTCAATCGGCAGTTGAAATTTTCATTCTTTTTGTTTAGTCTTTATAAAAATGTGAAGTGGACAACAAATTATATTTTTGAAGTTCCAGTACTCACTCATACCCCAATGCGGATAATGAGAATAACAATTACCACGAGATCAATAAACGATTTTTAATGAATTCAGTAGCAACGAGGTAAATTTCATTCTACTATTTATAAAATACCGATTTTTGTGAAAACTATTGGTTTCAGAGAGAAATATTAAAAGACCTTTGTTGTCAGAAATTTAAATCGTAACAAAAATTTTCTTTTGAGTTTTCTCCTTAAGTCGATACTTTTCGAGATGCACTGAAAATAAAAAAAGTTCAATAAGACTCATTTACATTTGACCGTTGATACTGAATTCTCCACAACGATCTTTGAAGCACTAATAAAACCAGAAAAAATTCAATCTCATAGATGCGGAAATGTCAAAGAACTTGATAAAAAATGACCGTGGTATGTACTCCAATAGTTTCCGTAAATAAATTCCCGGTGAAGGTAACGATTGACGGAATTGACACATTTTTTTTTCATCAGCTCAAATGCTAATGCGTATTCTCATCACGAGGTGTATAAAATCGCGTAAAAAATGGCAAAACACCGGAGAAAGTCAAGAGACTTAACATTATGGTGTGCATCAATTGTCTTCATCATTCAATCGACATCTCAAGTTCGAGGAGCACCTGGTGAGTCACTCGATAATTATCTGTCCAGGTCTGTAGCAATTGAAAAATTAATTTTCCTCAATTGCCGGAATTTCTGGAAGAACAGGAATTATATTCTTTATCAAAGGGATATCCTCTTCCTCCAGTTTTTATCGGGTGATATTTCCTCGACTTGTGGCAGTCAAAATCATATGGTTTTTCGCTGAATTTCTTTTCCTCTAGTCGAAACATCTTTTCCTCTCCTCGATCATTCAATTTTCCTGGTAATAATTTAAATAAGAGTCTTTTTTCTTCATTTTCCTGTATTTCTCGGAATTTACTCTGCCGTCGATGATGAGTAACAAACTGCATTAATTGAAAGACGGATATTGTTTCGATAACAATTACACCTGAAGGTTTTTTCACAGGACCTTCTTCGGAATTTCGTACTTACGCCCGTGTGCAACCACGGGTTTTTCATCGGAATAATCAAATCACCACTCACACAAAGATTAACGTGAGTATTCTGTATTAAAAAATTACTGAATTTTTCCCCGAAATCGCGCCGAATGCGAGAAGAAAAAAATCGAGGAGTGAGAAAATTCTACAATTTTCCGGAATTTCCACACTCGGGAAAAATATTTTTATATCTCAAAGGGAAAACCTGAAGATCTTGTGGATTTGAAGGGTAAATAGACGAAAATAAATTATTACCTTGATTTTTCAGAATTCTAGCCATCCGCAAGTGCTGAGAGTCGATTTGAACATCGATGGGGTGTCTCGCACAATTGATCTCAGGCTCAATATTGATCTCATTTCCTCAGGATATAGACAGGTTCATCAACTCGATGGGCATTCCAAAACCGAAGTACCTGAAACAGTCGTGGGTATCCTGAAACAATAAAAAAAATTATAATTAATTACGCTGGACTTTAACTCATGGAATTTACGCTAAATATTTCGAGATTCAATTTTTAAATTGACAGGGTCAATTAATCAATCATTCAGCAATAATTCTCCAGTTTTTTCCTGAATTTTTCTGAATTTTCCTGAATTTTTTTAAAAGTCTCGAAAGAACCGGTTTCCTATCAGAAGTTAAAATTCCTAGAACGGCGCGATAATCACTTCCTAAAAATACTATTCCAAAAAATCCCAGGAATTATGCCATTACCACGGAAGTATCCGCGGCATCAGGAGTTCGTGGGTGGCAGTGTCGACCTGCCGGGGTCTGCGAGGTGTGATCTACACCGGAAAAACGTTGCACCACATCCACCCCGAGGAGGACTCTCTCTCCAGCCTGCACTACCTCTACAGCCACAGTGACTTAATCTCGAACAAAACCTGCGGAACTCCAGGAGTTGCGCACGACTTCCCTAGAAAAAAACGTGAAGTCCCCTGGGGATATCCAAAAGGTCCCTACAACTCGAACCGAGACTCCCGCTACGTCGAGCTAGCCCTCATCGCCGACACGACGATCTACAAAAACCTGGACAGAAACCTGAACAACGTTCACCATCACCTCATCAACCTGGCCAACATAATAAACGCCCTGTACACCCCTCTGAACGTATTCGTGGCCCTGGTTGGAGTTGAGGTCTGGACGTCTCGAGACGAGATTGTTATCACGACCGACAGCCTGCGAACTCTCACAAATTTTATGAACTACCGTAAATCAAAACTCCTGAATAAAATTCCAAACGACAACGCACAACTCCTAACAGCCACTCGTTTCCAGGACGGTGTGATTGGTAAAGCTGGAGTGGGTGCGATGTGTACCCTCTCATCATCAGGAGGAGTAATCCGAGATCATTCAGATATCGTGGGTGTAGTTGCAGCCACAATCGCTCACGAGATGGGCCATAACTTCGGAATGCACCACGACGCCAATTACTGCAACTGCCCCGATGAGGATTGCATAATGGTGTCGACGTTGACCTCTTCCACTCCGACCCACTGGTCGAGCTGCTCCCTCGAGCAAATCTCCGCTTCCTTCTCCCAAGGATTGGATTACTGCCTCCGTAATCGACCGAAGAGCCTCTTCGGTGGTTCAACATGTGGCAACGGTTTCGTCGAGCCCGGAGAAGACTGCGACTGCGGTTCAAAAGACAACTGCCACATCTCCTGCTGCAATCCCAACACCTGCACATTCCGAGGAAACGCCAGCTGCGCAACTGGTGAATGCTGTGACCTGTCAACCTGTCAATTGAAAAGAGCAGGAGTCACCTGCAGAATCGCTGAAAGGGAATGCGATCTCCCTGAGTTCTGCACAGGTACCAGTGAATACTGCCCAGAGGATATTTACAAGATCAATGGCCTTGTCTGCCGAGGAGGCACAGCATTCTGCTACGAGGGGCTCTGCAAGAGCCACGGGGACCAGTGTAGGATACTCTGGGGCCTCAGTGGCTCATCATCACCTCGAGTCTGCTATCAGCAGAACACAAAGGGCTCTGAATATGGAGACTGCGGATACAATCCTCTGGATTCAACTTATTCGCCATGCGAGGAGGTGGATATTCTCTGTGGAAGACTTCATTGTCAGCCTCCGGATGGCATCAGGTTCCAATTCGGAGCCGATGGTGATGTCACTGTTAGACATGCTTACGTAAATAGTGGCAACACTTTTGCTTCGTGCAAAACAGCTGTTGTTGACATGGGGACGAGAGATGTTGATCCTGGATTGGTTCCCAATGGGGCTAGATGCGCTGAGGGAAAGGTCTGCGTTGATCAGAGGTGCATCAGCGCCGAGAGACTACTCGGGAGGGTCGACAGGAGTTCTTCGTGCCTGAAGAATTGCAGTGGAAATGGAATTTGTAATAGCATTGGCAAGTGTCACTGCGATGAGGGCTTCGCACCCCCTGATTGCAGGCGGGGAGGCACTGGAGGATCCGAAGACAGCGGGCCCGTTGGACCCTCCGGTGATGGTGAGTTATTCCTTCAGATGGGAATTCTTATTCCAAAATAATCATCACAATCCAACCCAAGACGTTCGATTAATCGTGAATTCATCTCGATTTATTTTAATTACTGTTTTTCAGGAGAAACTGATGGTCTAGCAATCGCTCTCTACCTCATCTTCCTGGGGATTATTCCCGTGGTTGTTGTTTTTGTGCTCTGCTATCGGTG